TTTCATTGTAATGCCAGAGTGTAGAACAGATTATTTTTTTTTTCATTTAAAAATAGAAGATAAAGCAAGGTTGATTATGCGAATAACAATATGATCATCAAACCCTGCATATGTAATGTCATCTGGTATATATTGTTATCTTAAAAAAAAAAAAAATAGCATAATCTAAATACACATACTATTTTTTTTGCAAGAAAATATAGTTTATATATATAATATATATATATATAATCTTTTAAATTAGGTACCTCCAAAGAAATTTTTAAAAAAAATTAGGCATGGTGATTTTGGCTCCAATAAAAATAATAAATTTGAAATTTGCATTTTTGGATTAGTATATTTGAAATCAATCACCATCATTGGATTTTCAGAGAATTATCCATTTCCAGGATTAGCATATGTTTTTATGGCATAGACATTTCATCATTAATATAATCTGTATGTTTTATTGAATTAGCATATTAATGATATATATTTGAATATATATATATTTTTTTAATGCAATATTTTACAACTTTAGCATATTTATGCAATTTTTTGTGATTAAGGATTTATCTAATAGTGCCGATTTTGGGATTAAATTATTTATGTTGCATTTTTGGATTACCAATATTTATTTATGCAATTCATTTTGAATTAGCATATTTATCTATGCAAATTTACTTGTAATTATTGTGATTATATTTATCTATATATATGATTTTTGGATTCTCAGAGTTAACCTGTAGAAAAGACAATATTTATAAATATATGACAATAGGAAACTGTAATGAATAGTCATAATTTATTTTTATGTAGCAGAACTTCAAGCAAAAGTGAAATGAATTAGAGCTATAAAGAACATAATATAATAATGGAAAAACTGTTCCTCCCAATATATTGGAGAAACAGCTGAAAATTTAAAAACGAAACTTTAAAATTAAAAGAGCATATTTTGAGACCTCAGAAAACAACTTATCTTCACTTTCTTATACTTCATAATTGTTCTATCTCTTTATGCTATCAAGTATTCCAATTGAAAAATTAACTCATTCAGAAGGAAAAATTAAGAACCGATGCAAATTTCATTGAATGATACCCAATATTAATTTTCATAGGCTTTTTCCCCCTATTTCAATTGCTTTCTTAACAAAATTACTGCTTTTTTTAAATTAAACACAAAATATCGTAAAATCAAAAAAGAAAAATGGTTGAATCCACATGTTGTAATGAGAAGATCCCTTGTTCATATAACAATAACTTAAATTCCTTTCAGTTAACAATATGAAAATTGCTGCTCTACATTCCTCCAGATACCTAAGAACATTCTGTTTTTGTTATTATTAGTTATGGTTCTTTAAATCCGTTCATTTTTTTGCTTTGAGAAAGAACAGAGAATTAAACACGGAATTGTAACTAGAGTTTTCCCATTATGTCATATACAGCATATATATATATAAAATATACACACACACACATATATATATGAATATTTCAATGTTCACGCTCATCAGTGTGGCTTAGGTTGATTGCCTACAAACTGAAACTTGACCAATTTGGCATTTGAGACTTAGATAAAACCCAAAGGAAAATAGCAGAGAATAACTGTTATTTTATTGTACAGGGGCATATATTTGACCAAAGTTAAGAAGATCATTACATAGTGTGGCTCAAGGTCGTCCACTTAAGTTTATGAACCCATCTATGCATGGCATGAACATACACCTCTTCAGATATAAATGGTTTTTAGGTTTTTTTACTCCAAAAAGTTTAGCTTCTGGTTAAAAGATGTGAATATTTAAATATATTCATAAAATAACTTGGTACTGAGATTAGAAATTTAATTGATTTTTGACTTATTATATTGCTCAAACACTCACATTGAGCTCTCCCTTTGATTTAATAAACCCCTAATTTATCCTCACTAATTAAGTATATATATATATATATATATATATAAACCTGAGGCTGCTTAATTGTATATTGTCCTATTTAAAAAAAAAATTTATATTGTTTTTCAAAATAAAAAATTATTTTGTTAAATTTCTCCAGCCGTGGGATGCTATCAGTGCCAGTTATTTTGCTTGTGTGATGGTCCATCCATGCTTACTTGACTGACTGAGTTTAAATTTGTTGCATTGTCTTCTAAAGAAATTAAAATATTCCAAAATGACAGTGTGAAATTCAAACAAAAAATATCAAGAAGAAACTAAAATGAACAACTTATGATCAAGTCAGCAACAACTTATGGGAGTACATGTAGCCAACAAATATAGAAAGGGTCACCAATTTTCAATATATACCTAAAAATAATTCTTGTTAAATGTTATTTATAAAAAGATTTATGCAACTTACATTTCTCGTGATAAATAACTTTCAGGTTATGTAAAAAAAAAAATGTGGCATCAAGCGTTTTTTCCTGATTAATGAAGAAAAGAAAAGTATATCATTAGGGTAGGTAGGATGTGGTGGATAGGATAGACTCAAAATATTTTCATATATGACGAAGGCACTCCTCATTATCATGAGTAATCAAAGCCAACTTTGACAAGTCCTTAAAAAACAAATGATCTCAATCATCAGGTTTTTACACCACGTCATACACGTTGAAGGAACGTTTTGTTACATACACACACAAGTTACTTGCATCATTCAAGAAAAAAAATTGATAAGCGTCTTATGTCAGAAATATAGAGAGAGCAAAAATTGCTCTTTGGGCTTTTAAAATTGTTTTTTTTTAATGTACAGAGAACTGCTTTTTCAGATCAGCAATTTAGTAAGAAAAAAGTTTTATTGATAAAGATTTCTTCCAGTTTTAAATTTGAACTGTATTATTTAAAACTTTTAAATAATGCAGTTCAAATAAATAAAGATTTAAGTAGAAATAGGTTTTGTTGTTTTTTTTTTTAATGTCACTAAACCGAATCGCTGATCGATCGTTATAAAAAAATCCAGAGATGTTGCCCTGAGCCAGATAAAGCTAAAGTTTTAACTTCAGATAACGATATACACGCGATGAAGGCCAGAGGGCACAACGGCCGAAACGTTGTGATAACAACAACAAAGATGAGGACAATAGTCTGATTATAATAAGAATAAATAACTCCTCATCACAGAAATAGCACCGTGCTGTAAATTAATAGACACCTTAGAACTTTAATCCTCATTGGGTGACCCATATTACCGATTTTGTAGTAGTAAACTAAGATACATTTAGTAATTAACTGGGATAGATTGGAATAAATTGGTACGTGCATAGTTAAGAAATTGGTTTAAAATTCCAATTTAGACCCTTTTTTAAAAATATCAAATAAAATATAAACAAGTTATTCATGTTGTCAAAAATAACGTTTTATTTAGTCTTTAAGTTTTGCTAATTCTAATAATTTGGTATACTTACGTTATAATAGCGAGGGAACATTATTTCATAATAAAACGAATCTCTCATTTTATGTTCACTAGAATCTTGTATAGTCTGTTCAAACATTAATGTCTTTACATTACATTAATTTAATTTTCTTTTCCAGTTATTATTACTGATATTTCACGAAGACTGCCTTTGTCCGTCTCTTAGCTTCTTGAACATTTTTAATAGTCCACCATTGTTATAAAGACACTGTCCTTGACGTTACCAGTGCAAGAAAGTTAAAAAAATTAAAAGAAATCACACAGCATTTATAAGTGTATTTACAGAAGTTCGTGCATTTGCAGAATGAAAAGCATGTATACGCTCGCTCGCCAACACACACATATATATACCTCTCAAACAAGTTTGATTAAAAAGAACTGACAAGATCAAACTTGTTTGGATGAATATATATATATTAATTATATATACATAACACTTCTACCAATATCAGATGACAGATTGAGAGAAAAGAATAATAAGACATGAAATTGAAATATAAATTAGATGACGTCTTCCATCAGCGTATACGGTGAAAAACCAATAACTTTTTATAAAGAGGGAAAAAAATGAGATCTAGCTGGGTAAGGGCCATTAGGCTGTTCCAGTCCCGAGCCTACTGTTACCTTGTGGCCCTTTAAAAGATCTTGTAGTTTAGCGTCCCAAATTATCAAGGTTCGTGTGAGAACAGTCAGTCAGCTTTTTTCTTTTTGCTACAGTAGCAAAAAATTCCCCAACCCTACTTTTTAGTGATTTACACCAGCTTTCGCGAGGGTGGGGGGGCAAAATTAAATTAAATTTCTCGACGACAGAGAAAAACTGAAGTAAATACAAGAATACATATTTTTAAGAAACTGCTGAAATGTTTGCGGCCTGATCGAGAATTATTCCGTTCGAAATTCTGAAGACTCTTCAGATTTTAGGAAATGAATCAATGAGTTTTCAGCACCCCTCATGTAAGAATCTATAAATAGAATTGCAAAAAGTAAATGGTCAAAAACAAGGATAAAACGATAACAAACTTCAATTCTGTTGCTTTTAATTACTTCCTTTGATCCATTATATATATATATATATATATATATATATATATATATATATATATATAACTGATTTAAAATATAGTTTTTTTGCTACACAGTTCTAACCATGTTTCAAAAATGGAAGCAAAAACTTCAAATTTAATTTTGTAAATTAAAGACATTAGTTCCATTTCATCCTCAAGCGAATTTTGGAGTAACTTTTAAAATTACAGGGTTTTAAATGCACTGCAAAAAATCATAATTCATGTTTCCAAGGATACAGAGAAATCCATTCATCCAGACAAGGGGGGGTTGCGTGTTTATTATCGCTGTATTTTGATGTATCAGTTATTAGTTATTAGTTTGGAATCAACAAACAAACACTGTAGGTGACAAACAACAGAAAGCAAAGATACAGGGATAACAAATAACCATTTTATTACTAAAATATATGTTGGGGTATATTAAAAGATGAGACAAAAACAAATATTACAGTATAAAACAATGAGGGGAGAAAACTCATCTTTCAGGTAAATATTAACAAACAACCATGTGTCAAACTTGTATGAAATTATAAATGACAAAAAGGCAAAATGAGCAAAGATAAAACAGACAATAGAAACAAAGGACTTACCTGTTACTTGAAAAAACATCTTTCTTTTTCTCTTCCTTTTCTTTTCCTTTTCCTCTTCCTTTTTTTTTCTTTCCTTTTCCTCTTCCTTTTTTTTGTTTTTCTTTTCCTCTTCCTTTTTTTCTTTTTCTTTTTTTTCTTTTCTTTTCCTCTTCCTTTTTTTTTTCCTTTTTTTCTTTTTTCTTTTCCTCTTCCTTTTTTTTCTTTTTCTTTTCCTCTTCCTTTTTTTTCTTTTTCTTTTCCTCTTCCTTTTTTTTCTTTTTCTTTTCCTCTTCCTTTTTTTTCTTTTTCTTTTCCTCTTCCTTTTTTTTCTTTTTCTTTTCCTCTTCCTTTTTTTTCTTTTTCTTTTCCTCTTCCTTTTTTTTTTTTTTTTTTCCTCTTCCTTTTTTTTTTTTTCTTTTTTTCTTTTTCTTTTTCTTCCTTTTTTTTTCTTTCCTCTTCCTTTTTTCTTTTCTTTTCCTCTTCCTTTTTTTTCTTTTTCTTTTCCTCTTCCTTTTTTTTCTTTTTCTTTTCCTCTTCCTTTTTTTTCTTTTTCTTTTCCTCTTCCTTTTTTTCTTTTTCTTTTCCTCTTCCTTTTTTCTTTTTCTTTTCCTCTTCCTTTTTTTTTTTCCTTTCCTCTTCCTTTTTTCTTTTCCTTTCTTTTTTTTTTTTCTTTTCTCTTTCCTTTCTTTTCCTTTTTTTTTTCTTTTTCTTTTCCTCTTCCTTTTCTTTTAGTGTCTCTCATGTTTTTATTTTCTCTTTTCCTTGCTGGGTAGAAAGTTTATTGGTGAAATGGATTTCCTTTTGGGTTCCTTTCTTTCTTTTCCTTTTTCATCTTGTCCAGGGGTTAAGTGAAGAATAAGTTGAATCTTCCTTGGCTTTCAGGATAAAGTATCTTTCTTTCATTGTATCTGCTTCTTTTAGTATACTGGGATTTGATTTCTTTGAATCAACACTTTTTTGAATTTCTCAGCTCATAAACCTTAATAGATTTCTACCAATTCCATACATCCAAATTTATAGCAGATCATAGCAAGTTTAACTGGATGTCAATTCAATTTGAATTCTGATGAGGGACTGACTTGGTGGCGGTCTTTATTTTCATGCCTTGATTTTGGCATGTAACCCATGACTTTCAAATATGGATTTTTACATATGCAGGTAAAAAGCAGTCACTGACCCTTTTACTTTTACTATTGTATCTCAGAGAGTTCAAAGTTGCTTTTAATGTCTGGATAGTAGCCAGTCAAATCATCACATAACCAAGAAGGAGAAAGTCTATTTTTCATAGGATACATAATCTTTGCTCAGATGCATGCAAGTTTGATCAAGAACTGTTGTCAATTTCACTTCATTTCTTTTTCATTTTCACACTTTCTGAAAGTACTGGCTCCTCATTCAGAGTACTTCTAAAATATAAACTTTAGTGTTGATTTTAGAATAAAATTAGATGAGGGTCCATAACACTTTCTCACCAAAAAAAAAAAAAAGTCTATGGATATATCCATTGCAGTTTTCTAATGTTAAAAAGGTGTATTCTGCTTTCTTTCTTCATTCTACAAACGTGAAATATAAACTTTAGTGTTGATTTTGGAATAAAATTATATATATATATAATCTCTCTGATTGAATAAATTACAAACATTGTTTCCTTATTTTTATCATATTCACAAATATTTTTCTATATTAAAATTAAAAAATATTTGTGAATATGAAAGGATCATAATAAAAATAAGCAAGCATAATGTTTAATTTATTCAATCAGACTTGCCTAAAAGAGAATTTGCTGCCTAAATACACAAAAAAAATATTTGTGTGTGTAATATATATATATATATATATATATATATGTATATACACACACATATAGCATTTGAGAAGCGCTAGACTAATGTTTTTATTGATGGAATTATATGTAGGAAGGATAGTAGGAATATAAAAACACAAGTGATGGTCATAAATACTCACTGCTAAGAAACACTGAAGATGTTGGAATACTAAAATATATTTTTTTATTTTTTTTTTATTTTTTTTTAACTTTTTCAAGTTTGGCTTGACAGGTGTATTTTTTTGCTTTTACATTTTTTTTTGTTTTTGTTTGAGATGTTGAGGAGGCTTACAAAAGACCAAAACAATAAAGGTGGCAATCCCACTTTTGAAAGAAACTTTTTTCCTGATCCTGTTAAGTTCAGTTATGTCCTTTGGCAATAATCGTTGGTGATTTTAAGTCTTAATAAAATTACGATGAGAAATATATATTTAAAAAAAAAAATGAATTTATTCTGTAATTTTATTTAAGAGGAACTGCATTACAAAATATTTATCTTTCCATTTGTCCATTTTGTTTTAAAAAGTAACCTTTTTCTTGTAGGTGATAATACTTGATGTACGAGTTCCCTGCACCCCAGTTGCCCGACTGAACAACCACCGGGCCTGTGTCAATGGCATTGCATGGGCTCCTCATTCAAGCTGTCATATCTGCACCGCCGGTAAGGACTATTTTTTCTTTTACATCTTCTTGGGGGAGGAGGGCTTCCCCTCATTCCATTACTTCTAGAATAATTGGTCATTCAAATTATGAAAGTGAAGTGAAACATCAGATGTAAGTGTAAACATAAATACAAAGTGGATTGCAGAAAAGTATTCTGTCCAACCAAGAAATCTTTCTTTACAAAAATTCTTCACAAATTTGATTGAGATGTGAACCTTTCAACTACCCATTGGAGAAATCAGATTGTAGTAGAAAAAAATGTAGTTTTTATTAATTTTTACTAAAATAAAATGCAATGAGTTAAAACCTAAATTAAAAGTGCATTTAATGACAATCTGTTACGGTTCTGCTGTATTAAATTTTATGTCAAAACCTATCAAATCTTTATTCTCAATAATTTCAGACAAATCAGTTTTTTTTTTTTTTTTTAACAGTTTCTGAATAAGAAAAACTTTTAAACATGGCCAGATTACTGCAAACTTCATTGTTTATCTCAAAAGATAATTCAAATTTTATGAATTAATTTTTCTTTTTCATGGTTGCTAAAATAACAATTGAAATTATTATAAATATTTAGTAACTAAATATACCTGGTGAGGGTCAAATTCATTTACATAAGCAATAATTTAACAACTCAAATGCATATGAAACCTGATTAACCAATGAAACAACACAAAAGTAAAAATACTAGAATTTCTTTCTTCCATATTCTTTGATGAAGATTTAATAAAAGTGAAACCTGTTAGATTGATAAACTTTTCCTATTTGTTTCTTTATCTTATTATAAGTAATAGTCTACAAAAACAGTTTATTAGCCATCACCATGTAGTTTTTACAGTAGAACTCTTCATTAACTTGGGTGAAGATATTCTGAAAATAATAGTAAAAAAAAATAATAGACAAGTAACTCCATGAGTTTTTAGATTGAAATTCATTCATTAAGAATCTGATGAAGTTTTCTGAAATGTTTTTCTTTTCATTGTCTTAAGATTATTTGTTTGTTTCTACTAGCCGATGACCACCAGGCTCTTATATGGGATATTCAGCAGATGCCAAGGGCCATCGAGGATCCAATCTTGGCTTACACAGCAGCTGGAGAGATCAACCAGATCCAATGGTCATCTACTCAACCTGACTGGATTGCTATTTGCTACAACAACTGTTTGGAGATTCTCCGTGTCTGACATCTATTCTAATGGATTTGATGAGGAAAACATGGGCACACACACACACACATCTCTTTTCTCTGCCAACTGTTCTCTCTCTGCTCAACAGCTCCAACAATTACAAAAGCTGTTTCCTGAATTTATATAAAGACAGAAAGAAAGAATCTTTTTTTTTTAACTTTTCATCCTTTTTAAGCTTTTATTTTTTTAATGTTTTTTTTTAATGTTCTTATTGTTGAAAATGGATGCAGTATTTCTCAACTAGAAACAATTTTCAAAAAAGGGAGCAAAAATCTTTAATGTTTTTTTATTTTTTTTTATTTTTTTTTTTTTTCAGGCGCATCTTGTTAAAATTTGTCATTCACTTTCTCACAAAAAATTCTTTCTGCTAAAGAAACCATTTTCTTTCTTTCTTTCTTTTTTATATAAATGAAAGTGGGGAAAAAAGATTTGGAGAGTTGGATTCTAAATCATCACGGAGACACAACCGACTCCACACGAGAGAGATTTATTTTTTGAGCCAAGTTGGTTGTCTCCTAACAGAATTCCTGCAATAACTCAACAAAAACCAGACTGCCTCTTTCTACTCAGCCATTTTGTTTATGGCATCAAATCCATTCACTAGTCAGAAATTTGACTCCCACACAAACTCTTGCAGCATTCAAGCCTGTAGAATTTTGCTATCATTATCATCATTATCGTTACCACCACCATCATTATTATAATTATTATTATTTTTCTTTCTCCTATTTATTGAAAAGCTGCTGCTCCCAGACACATGTGTGAAGTAAAACAACCCCCAGCATCTTTGGATAACACTTCAGGGAAGAAAAAAAAGGAATTCCTTACTTTCTTTTTTGCCTTGGATCTATTATTGGCAATTCTGCTTTTAGAGAAATTGTCTTGATTTGATCTTTTGTTTTTAACCAATTTTTTAGGGATTGGGTTAAAACCAGGAATTTGTTATCCATAGTCCTAAGTGTCAGCCTCCCCCAGGGAAGTGTTGGCTTGTTGGTTTCAAGCTGAAACCACATACCTGCAAAATATTTGTCAGGACAGAGAAAAGGATCTACATCTTTTTCAGGTAACCAGAAGAATACAATGTTCATTATTTGCTTTTCTTAAACCTTCAACTCTGGATTTTTCATTTGATGATAGCCTTTTGTGTTTGTCTTTACAGTTTTTTGTCGATTTGTTTAATGAACCTTTCTCAAAAGCCTCTGCTTGGTTTCTAGATTCTCTCTATGCACATATATTATTATTATTATTATCATCATCATCATCCTTCTTCTATTCTTCCTAACAACTCCGATGGCAGGCCACACTTCATTCCCAACAGCTTTTGGCAGAGACTCTGATTCCAGCAGAATTGCCAATCCTGTAGAAATACAAAACCAGCAACACTTCTATTCTGACACACATTATTGAAAAAGACTAAAGCTCTATTTATAATGAAAAAAAAAACAAAACAGTAATACACAGTTCTTTGACTTTCTCTTTTGAAATCTTCCAACAAAGGTTGAAACAAAATAAATTTTTTAATCTTTTTCTCAGTCGTCAAGCCATTCTGTATTTGTAATAAAACCCATTTAATGAGACAAAACATTTCTCTGTTTGTCCATTTCTTTTGCTTCTCGAAAACAATTTTCATTTCTCTTTTATAAATACCCGTAAAATTAGAGAATTCCTCTCATTTCAAATTTTGGCTTTCAAATATTTTCATATCCCATCACCACCACCACATTTCAGTAAATGCCTCTATTTGATCTGAACTAATATTAACTGAAGGGCAAATCTACTTTGACCCATTTGTCGGCTATTTATTCATTGTCAGTATCAGCTAAATCAGATCTTTGAGTTAGAATCCACAATTTGTTGTTCATACCCATTAAATATCAGTCTTCGCCCAGGATGAATAGCTTTTTACCTTGAAGTCACATTTCCTGTATATTTATGAACAGAAAATGTTGAAAGACTTCAAACATTCAATTGCCTTTCATTCCATTCATTTTTCTCATTTCTTTTCTACCACTGCTTAAATTGTTGCCTATGTTGGTAGTCCTTATTAATTGGTATGTTCTGTAGAATTTTGTAGAGCTGCTTTTCAATCTAAGTTTTTTTCTTTTGTCTGTGTTCGTCCATATAATTTCAATCAGACCCAATTAAAAAAAAATCATATTTGCTTCTTTCAAAACAAAAAACGATTTTATGTCTTTAATCCTCTTCCAGTAGATTTTTACTGGAACTCATCAATGTTTCTATCTTTTAATTTTGAAAAAGCAAATGACTTACACATCTTGTCATTGATACTAACATTGTGTTCTTTTTAAGAAAGAAGCTGTCATTTTAGATCTTGTCACAATATGAAATGTTCACTTTCCCTGTAGAAGTTTCGCATCTGTAATATCTTGATATTGTATTAAAGTGAGCTACTGTCACTCGAAAATGATTTTTCTTTTGCTGGGCCCCCTAAATGCAATCATGAATGTTTTGGTTCAAGGCTGTTAAATGAATTTATAAATCTATATTTCTTCTTCACGACATTCTTGATTTCCTTTTAAGTTGCCAAATAATCCAATCATATCAAATTTGTTCTTTTCAAATTAAGTTTTGTCATCTGAAGAAATATTTTCTGTCCTGAAGAAAAAAAACAAATTCTCTTGGCCCATTCAAATTTTGGAAAGAACTATTTACACTGCTTAAGCTAGTCGGGTACAAGGTTGTGACAGCAGAGCACTCAGGGAGAATGAAAGCAATTGTCCACTATTACTCTGATGCAGATGTCTATGAATTTATCCAAGTCTGGCACAAGGCTATAATGGAACCAAGAGAATCAGGTTTATTTGTAATGGCACATGAAACCATCTTGCTAAGTATGCCATGTCAAGCATACACCCTAAATAGATATATAAAAAACTTAGTGCAGCACAAGGTTACAATAGTAGAGCACTAAGTGAGGGCCTTAATTAGCTAGCAATGATCGGTAAGATTAGTTTGCTATTGCCCTACAGCAGGTATAGACCTCATCGTATTAAGGCAACTTAACTATTATTGGGTGATGTGTTTTGTTTTTTTATTGCAAGAGTTAATGTTCTTATGAATTCTCTTGAAGAGAATTTCTCTTGGCCTTGTAGAAAGACATTAAACAATCATTAGTTTGGCATGAGGATTAGAAAAACAAGATGATTGTATTCTATTCTATCTCACTGTCTCTCTGGTACCTGTGACTCTCACTGTCTCTCTGGTACCTGTGACTCTCACTGTCTCTCTGGTACCTGTGACTCTCACTGTCTCTCTGGTACCTGTGACTCTCACTGTCTCTCTGGTACCTGTGACTCTCACTGTCTCTCTGGTACCTGTGACTCTCACTGTCTCTCTGGTACCTGTGACTCTCACTGTTTCTCTTGGGTCCTTGTTATACACTCTCTCACTCGGGTCCTTGTGACTCTCACCACACGCCCCCTCTTGAGACCTTGTGACATGCACACCCACTATATTGTGTCCTTGCAACATGCACACTCTATTGTGTACTTGTGACATTCAGACACGCTCTATCGAGTCCTTGTGACTGGCACCCTCTCCTTCTATCGAGTCCTTGTGACTGGCACCCTCTCCTTCTATCGAGTCCTTGTGACTGGCACCCTCTCCTTCTATCGAGTCCTTGTGACTGGCACCCTCTCTTTCTATCGAGTCCTTGTGACATTCAGACAATCTCTATCAAGTCCTTGTGACTCACACTATCAAGTCCTTTTGACTTGCACACTCTCTTTCTATCGGGTCCCTGTGACCCTCGCACACTCTCTCTCTTGGGTGCTTGCAACTCTCACACACTCTCTCTGGTCCTTTTTGCTCTCTCCTACTTTCTCTGTGTCTCGTGTTCTTGTGACTCTCCCACTATCTCTCTCTCTCTCTCTGTCTCGTGTTCTTGTGACTCTCACATGCTTTCTCTTGTGACTCTCACCCTCTCTATTGAGTCCTTGTGACTCTCACACTCTCTCTCCCTCTTGGATCCTTGTGATGCTCACACTCTCTCTCCCTCTTGGATCCTTGTGATGCTCACACTCTCTCTCCCTGTTGGATCCTTGTGATGCTCACACTCTCTCTCCCTCTTGGATCCTTGTGATGCTCACACTCTCTCTTTCCCTCTTGTGTCCTTGTGGCTCTCACACTCTCTCTCTCCCTCTTGGGTCCATGTGACTCGCGCTCCCTCTTGGGTCCATGTGACTCTCACACTCTCTCTCGCCCTCTTGGGTCCATGTGACTCACGCTCCCTCGTGGGTCCATGTGACACACACTCCCTCTCGCCCTCTTGGGTCCATGTGACTCACACTCCCTCTCGCATTCTTGGGTCCTTGTGACTCACACTCCCTCTTGACACTCACTCTCACTGGGGTTCCAATGTCTCATTCTCTTGGGTCTTTGTGACACACCCTTTATCTCTCTCTGTCAGTCACTCTTTGGTTCTCCTGACTCACTCTCTCTCTTTCTCTTGGGTCCTCGTGAATCTCTCTCTTTTTCTCTCTGGTCCTCATGATTCTTTTTTTTCTCGGGTCCTCATGACTCACACACTCTCTCTTTTTCTCTTGGGTCTTCGTGACTCACACACTCTCTCTCTCTCTCTCTCTCTCTCCCCCTCTTGGGTCCTCGTGGCTCTCACACTCTCTCTCTCTCTCCCTCCCCCACCAGGTCCTCAGGCCCTCACACTCTCTCTCTCCCCCTCTTGGGTCCTCGTGGCTCTCAAGCTCTCTCTCTCTCTCCCCCTCTTGGGTCCTCGTGGCTCTTAAACTCTCTCTCTCTCTCTCCCGCTCTTGAGTCCTCGTGACTCTCAAACTCTTTCTCTCTCTCTCTCTCTCTCCCGCTCTTGGGTCCTCGTGACTCTCAAACTCTCTCTCTCTCTCTCTCTCCCGCTCTTGGGTCCTCGTGACTCTCAAACTCTGTCTCTCTCTCTCTCCCCCGCTCTTGGGTCCTCGTGACTCTCAAACTCTCTCTCTCTCTCCCCCGCTCTTGGGTCCTCGTGG